AAAATGGTAGATTTTTCACTAAGAAAAGGAAAACAAAAGAAAAGCCATGAGTATTTTGGATCAAATTTATGTATTGTCTGTCTCTGCCAATAGAATGTCAGCCCACATTTTTTGTGTCTAGAACAGAGCCCGGCCTATTGAAACTACTAATGAGCCCAGGCAGTTGCTGAAGGCGGCGGAGGGCCAGGTCCTGGTACTGAATGGCGAAGGCATCCCCTGGGCCGCTTGGCGGCCATCGTGGCCAAGCAGGTGCTGCTCGGCTGGAAGGCGGGGGACGTGCACTGTGAGGGTATCAACATTTCTGGCAATTTCTACAGAAACAAAATGAAGTCCCTGGCCTTCCTCTGCAAGTGGGTGAACACCAACTCCTCTCTCGGTTCTTAACACTTCCTAGCACACCCCGCCCCCCCAACTGCATCTTTTGCGGACAGTGTGAGGCCAAGCAGGCCGGACCCCTGGGACCACCTCAAGGTGTTTGATGGGATCCCACTGGCCTATGACATGAAAGAGCAGTGGTTCCTGCGGCCCCCAAGGCTGTGCGTTGGAAGCCTACACCCAGGTTGGCCGCCTACACGGAGGTTGGCCTACCTGGACGCCTGGCTCAGGAGTTGCCTGGAAGTTCCAGGCAGTCACAGCCACTCTGGAGGAAAAGGGGAAGGGGAAGGGGAGAGCGAAAATCCATTACCCGAAGAAAAGGCAGCTCATGCAGCTGCAGAAACAGGCCAAAAAGAAGGTGGTGAAGAAAACTGACAGATACACAGAGGTCCTCAAGACTTAATGGTCTTCTTCTGGTCTGAGCCCAACAAAACTGACTGTGAATTCCTAAAACAACAATAACAAAACCACAAGCTAATGAACACGTGCAGAAGAAAGGAGGGATCGAAGGACCATGACATCTCAAATCTTCCATCACCTGGAGAGGCCCATTGGGGCCACTTCCAAACACTTTTTAAAAAACTATGGTAAAGCATATAACATACAATCCACCGTACTAACCATTTTAAGAGAACAGTCACTAGTGTTGAATATATTCTCATTGTTGCGCAACCTTTCTCGAAAACTTTTCATCTTGTAAACTGACACTTTGTACTCATTAAACAACCATTCCCCATTCCCCTTCCCTCAGCCCCTGGCAACCGCCATTTCCCTTCGTGTCTCTATGGATTTCACTGCTCAAGGTACCTGACGAAATGGAATCATATAGTATCTGCCTTATTGTGCCTGGCTTACTTAGCACAATGTGTTCAAGGCTCATCCATGTTGTAGTAACTGTGAGAATTTCCTTTCTTTTTAAGACCGACTAATAGTCCATTGCATGTATATACCGCATTTTGCTTACCCATTCATCCATCAATAGACACGTGAGTTGCTTCCTTCTTTGAGCTATTGTGAACAATTCTGTTATAAATATGGGTGTACAAATACCTCTTCAAGACTTGCTTTTACTTCTTTTGGGTATATTCCCAGAAGTTGAATTGCTGGATCATATAATAATCCTACTTTTAATTTTTTTGGAAACTACCAAACTGTTTTCTACAGCAGCTGCACCATTTTACATTCCCACCAACAACGCACAAATTCCAAGCACTTTTATGCCACTCCACGTCCCATCCAAGTTCAAATTTGCCCAGCAATCAAGTCCCACTGCACCCTGCATCCCTACAAGATGGTGAAGGGCTGGACGAGGGCTGTGGATCTGCAGTACTCCACATGCTCTAGGAAGCTGGAGGAGAGAGGGTGGCAGAGTGAGGACAGGTTCCAAGAGGAGGAAGGATGAAACTTCAACCCCAGAGATGTGAGGGCTGCTCTCCTCATTCTCTCACATGGACCTCCCCGAAGGCAATCCGATCCCGTCAGAGACCCTCTGGGGGAAGGCTGAGGCTGGGGCGAGGAGTAGAGCTGGTTTGAGCCGCACACCTCGGAGGAAGGAGAGGAGCTCGGGCCTCCCCGGGGAGAAGGGCTAAGGATTGAGGCACCGGTCCCAGGGGCCCCCAACCCATTCTGAACCTCCATTAGCTATCATTGATTGACTTAATATATGACAAACCTGTGACTCCAGTAACAATGGTAAGTGAGTTTGTATTTTATTCACTGTAATTGCATCTGCATACATTTAAAAAAGCAGCGGGACTAATATGGGCCAGACATGCTGTGGATACAATCTCTAGACAAGACAGGCCTCCTTGGAACTTGCCTGCCTCTGGTGATGACTCAAGCCCTCATTCAAGCCCCTTCCCCTCCGCCCAAGAGATCAGCAGAATGCTAACAGCACGCTCCACCATGGGGCTACAAGGAAGGGCAAGCTCAGGACTCGAGAGCATATAGACCTCATATCTACAAAATACTCTACATCTTTAACTCATTTGACATACCACCAATTCAATGAGTGGGTACTATTATTATTATTCCCGTTTTACAATGAGGACACAGGTACACGGAGCAATGTGAGGGGGTGGGAGTGGGAGTGGAAACACCTTCAGTCTAGTCTAGTCTGATTTTGCCACTGAGCCGTGTTTCTTCATCTTTAAACTGAAGGTGTGGGACTAAAGGACATCAAGAGGGGTTCTCGGAGTCAGAGCCGAGCAGTCATCCGCTGCCACTACGGCTTTTCCCCCGCCCCGCCCACTCAGCACTGCTCCCTGGGCTGCCGCCCGGGGTGGGGGCGGAGGAGGAAGAACAGCGCTGCCTTGCAGGTCACCCGGCAAATGCTTGACTGCCTTCTGGGGTGAGTCCAGGTCTGGGAAGGGAACGTTAAGAAGAAATTTCCACGGCCCTTCCTAAGCCAGGGATTTTCCATTCCGTCTGGGCAGACATGTCTCTCAGAGAAGGGATCTGGCGATCCATAGGAGTTAGTGAACGGCTCAGATCTGTGCTGGGCTGAGTGTAAGACCTGGTTCTGACTTTGGTTCTGGTTCCTGCCCTAGGAAAGGGGGCAAGTGTGTTGGGAAGGCACACCTGCCCCAGGAAGATGAGGGGGGGAGGGGGCCAGGATGGTATCAAACAAAGGAACAAAGTACTCAGCCTAGAAGAACCCGAGAGAGAGCCCATCAGGGGAAACTTCCTAGAACAGGAGACGTGAGCTGGAGGGGCAGTGGAGAAGGAGGCCTGCAAAGGCGGACAGGAGCAGGCAGAACCGACGAGAAGGGGGATCATGTGGACCAGCTTTACAAAGGCTGCCATGAGCACGGGACAGCGTAGTGGCCAGGAGAGAGCTGGATGCAAGAAGTGGAAACTTTGGTGAAGCAATACAGACAGCCAAGGCAGGGGCCTGCGCTCAGCCTCTGCACTAGCTGTTCCCTCTGCTGGGAACATGCCTCCCTCGCAGCCTCACCTGGTTGGTCAGGTGTAGCTCAAAAGTCCCCGCTCCACAGGGGAGCCTTCCCTGGCCACTCCTGCTAAAGCAGCCCCGAGCTGCTCTCTCGCAATTATCCATGTTCGTTTTCTCCCCAACACTTGCCACCACCTGCACGTATCCTGTTTCTTTGAGTGGCTGCCTCCCTCCTAGTGATAGGAGTTCCATGAGAGCAGAATGGCTTGTCTCCATCCAATCCCCAGGGCCCAGCACACAGCAGCCCTCAATAAATATTGAGTTTAATTGAACTGCACTTGGAGTGTGATGATGAAAGAAAGCCCATGATGATGATGTTTTTTCCCTGAGCACTATTATATGCCAGGTACTGTGGTAAGTGCTTTACAAACATGATCTCATTTATTCCCCTGTGGGGGAGATGCTGCTATTATCCCTAACAGGCGAGAAAACGGAGGTCTAGAGGGATTGGTTAAGTTGCTCAAGGACACACAGAACCAGGATTTGAACTCACACTTTTAACCTCTAGGCTACCACTGTCTGATAGAAATATAAAATGAACCACATAAGCAACTGAAGATTGTTCTAGTAGCTCCCTTAAAGCAAACCAGGTGAGGCGCACGCTTCCTCTCCAGAGCAGGCCTGCTTCTCCCCTTCTTCCCCCAGGTGTGTCACCTTTGTCTTTCCCTCTCTGAAGCTCCAAGGGCCCTTCTTTTGCTTCTGTAACTTGTTTCCCGAGCCTACGCAGCCCAGCTGGCTCACTTCTACTACCTCTGTAATTTTCTTTCTTTTGTTGTTAATCCTCACCCGAGGATATTTTTTCTGTTGATTTATTTTATTTTATTTATTTTATTTTATTTTTAGAGAGAGTAGAAGGGAGGAAAGGGGGGAGAAAGAGAGAGAGAGGTGAAGGAGAGAGAGAGATATGAAAGAGATACATTGATTGGTTGCCCCCCGAAGGAGCCCTGACTGGGGCCGGGAATTGAACCTGCAACCCAGGTACGTGCCCTTGACCAGGAGTCAAACCTGTGTCTTGTCAGTGCGTGGGCTGATGCTTTAACCACTGTGCAACACCAGCCAGGGCTACCTCTGTAACTTGCTAAATAAACTTTCTCTTAAAAAAGCAGATGGACCCTAGCCAGTTTAGCTCAGGGGATAGAGCATCAGCCTGAGGACTGAAGGGTCCTGGGTTCGATTCCGGTCAAAGGCGCATGCCTGGGTTGCAGGCTCGATCCCCACTCGGAACGTGCAGGAGGCAGCCAATCAATGATTCTCTTTCATCACTGATGTTTCTTTTCTTTAAAAAATATATTTTTTATTAATTTCAGAGAGGAAGGAAGAGGGAGAGAGAGATAGAAACTCTAAGGATGAAAGAGAATCACCGATTGGCTGCCTCCTGCATGCTCCCCACTGGGGACGGAGCCTGCACCTGGGCATGCGCCCTTGACCAGAATCGAACCTGGGACCCTTCAATCCACAGGTCGACGCTCTATCCACTGAGCCAAACCAGCTAGGGCTCATCATTGATGTTTCTATCTCTCCCTCTCCCTTCCTCTTCAAAATCAATAAAAATTTATTTTAAAAAAGCAGGTGAAATTAATTTTAATAATATATTTTGCTTAAACTGATATATTAAAAATATGATCATTTCAACATGAAATCAATATAAAAATATTAAGATACTTTTCCATTTTATTTTACTAAGTGTTCAAAATCTGGTGCCTGCCTAGTTTTTACACTTACAGCAGTTGCTAAGTTTTCATTAGAGAATTACCTGTATTTAGATTTCATAAAATTTGCAGTTGAAAAAATGATTTACATACCCAAGTTGTTCCACACATATTTAAATGTTTTCCAATAACAACATTGTCAATTTTAAAACTTAAATGTAAATTGATTAAAGTTAAATAAGATTTAAAATTTAGTTCCTCCGCTGCATTCATTACATTTCAAGTGCTCAACAGTCACATGTGGTCAGTGGCCACTGTATTGGACAGCACAGCGCTAGGCTGCACGGGTTCGTCTGCTGAGAAGGTAGGATGGGTGGGAGAGGTCCAGCAGGAGGGATCCAGAGCAGACTGGAGACCAGGTGTGGGAGGGGAAAGCGGGGAAAACTGAGGTGGTAGGACTGGGCCCACATAAAAATGAGGTGGGATGACCAGCCATGACTCCCACCAGCCGGCACAGGCTGGACCCACTCACAAGTGAGTGCCTCCTATGGGTGTTCTGTAGGTCTGGGCTTCCTTTCACCAAGGACGTGGTGGGGGCCCTCAGATCCCTGGGTAACTCCTCTCGCAGTTGCTATTCCCTCTCACACCACAAGGGATCCTGGGGGTGCATGGGGCTGGCTCTAAGCTGGCTCAGGCTGGGTGGGTGGAATGCTCTCCCTCTTCCCTTCCCTACCTGTGGGCAGCTGGCGGGGTCAGGTGTGTGGTTCTGGTTAAACAACTCTGGAGTCAAGGATGCCTGGGTTCTGATCCCGGCTCCGCCAGTTCCTTGCTGTGTGATTTTAGACCTTAGACAAGTCAAGTCCTTCTCTGAGCTTCAGTTTCCTCATCTTGAAAATGAAAACCAATAACGAAATGTTGTGAGACTCTGATAACGTCTGTAGAGTGCCCAGTTCGTAGTAAACAATCAATTAACACAAGCTATTCTTCCTAGATAATATCCTTTTCTGTTAAGGACAAAAACGTAGACTGAAAAACAAACCAACCAACAAACAAAAAATGTAGGCTGGAGACTGTTCATGATCACTGGAAAGATTTCCAGCGTGAGCTGTAGAGGTGGATGACGGTTCCTGCCTCAGCCCCACCCCGCTCCCGCCCCCCACCATCCCCTGCATGACACAGACTTCGTTAACCATCAGGAGTCTGGAGGGGGATGTGCCAAAGGCCCTGGGTGCCTGAACATGGGATTAAAATGGCCAAGAGACACCTTCTAGAAATGTGGAGAGTGAGTCAAACTGAATCAGGAGCAGGTGAGGTCACCCTGGGTCCCTAGAGTTACTCAGAGTGACACTGGCATATGACTGGCAGGAATGAGGGATGAACCGGGCTCCAGGAAAGCAGGTGGGGCTGGAAAGCACCCAAGACAAGGAAACTGTCGGCATGGAAAGTCCAGGCAGGCAGAGCACAGACTGAGAGGCAGAGGCCAGAGGCAGCGTGGCCCGGGTATTTTTGAGGGTAGGGCAGCTCCAACGCCCTCTCCCGGTTAGCACCCCAATTAGCCTTCCCCCGATCTTCCCAACTTCAACTCCCTGGCCCCCAAACCTTTGCTCTGCAGGGTCCCCCGAAGTGCCAGGGCTGAGACAGCCCAGAGCAGACCTTTGTCCTCTGCCCTGCCAAATTAGCTCTTGTCACCTCATTCTGCCCACATTTCCAACATTTCCTGTCTTGTCTGTCCGCCCCTCCTGGAATTAGTGCTCCTAAAGGTAGGAGGACTCTCTCTTGCTCACTGTTACATCTCCTGGGCACGGCGCAGACGCTGACATATAGTGGAATGTTTAGTAGGTACTTGTTGAGACAGTAGACTCAAGACCTAAGTGGGTTCTCATTGCATTTCTTACAATCATTATGTGGGTCAGCCTTCTGAGCCTTGTTTCCACATCTACAAAGAGGGAAACATAATCTCTATGGAGATCCTGGAAAAGGACCAGGTCAGAAAGCGGGGAGGAGGAAGCACCCAGCTGGCTCTACAAAGTGTCTGATGGATAATGTTTCAGACGCAGCTGAACCTAGAGGAGAGGTAACCGAGGCACAAGGAAGTCACGCTAACAGGCCACCTGAGGAGACAGAACGGGACCTCTGCCCGGGTCCCTCTGATTCAGTGTCGCTGGGAGTTCCCTCCAGAGGTCTCGGAGTGTGCCGGCCTGTGACTGCCTTGGAAGATAGCCTTTCCCCTCTCAGCTTCCTTTTGGGGATGGGGCCTGGCTCCTGGTGGCAGGGAGGGTCTTGGAGACACTGTGATGGCTGCCTCTGGTGCTGGGTGAGCCAACACTCGTGTGTGTGTGTGTGTGTGTGTGTGTGTGTGTGTGTGTGTGTGTAGGGGGTATTCTTTACTCCATAAGCATCCACTGGTTCCCCACTACACCCCAAGAGGGAGGCAGTCCAGCCTTGTGGTGAGATGCTTGGACTCTGGAGTCAGACTGGAATCATTAAAGGAGCTGATGCACGCAGCCCTTCCTGAGGCCCAGTCCCCCACCTGTGAGGATGGGGCACGTTCAGCACCCAGCACAGCGCCCAGTTCACCATAAACACTTAAGGAATTTTTGTTATTAGTTATTTTGTTAGACTATCAGCCCTGTGAGGACACAAGGGACACTTGTTTTGGTCACTGCTTACCCACAGCCACCATTCTTAGTAGGTGCTCAGGTGGTTGAAAGAACAAGTGGAGGAAGGAGAGAAAGAAGAGGAGGAAGGGAAGAAGGGAGAGAAAGGAGATTTGTTCTGGGAGCTCCTAGCTTCCATGCCCACCACACTCTCCCTCTGTCCCCAAGACACCAGAGTGAGCTGATTCAAGGCCTCTCACTGCACGCTGCGTGGGGTCCAGGAGCACTGATCTCAGATGGGAGTACGGAGTCTAAATCCTGAAGCCCCGTACCAGTTGACTAAACTTAGCCTCAACGATCTCCTCTATAAAATGTGGACGATCATACCAACGACCTTGCTGAGTTGTAGGGAGGTCCAAAAGATGTATATAAATACACTGAGTACACCTGTAAACTGAAGAGTATTAGAGGTCATTTCGGTGGAGTGACAGGCAGCGTAGGCTCTGGAAACAGCCTTCATGCCGTCAAAACCCACTGCTTGCAGAGCCTGAGCCTCAGTTTTCCCATTTGTAAAGCAGGGGTAATAATAGTTCCCACCTGACAGAGTTGTGAAGATTAAATGAGATAATGCATGAAAAGCTTTTGAATCAGTGGAGAGCATACAATAAAAGGTGGCCATAATAATCCTCAGGAAGGATTCTGTGAACTACTTCTCACTAAAGTGTGAATGAGTGATAAGACCTGGATGTTCCCTCTCTCAGGGGAGTTTAAATACTAATGCAAGTTAAATGAGTGAAATCCTATCTGATGACGGAATTTTAAAAGAAGGTATAAAGGGATGCCAAAACCGGTTTGGCTCAGTGGATAGAGCGTCGGCCTGCGGACTGAAAGGTCCCAGGTTCGATTCCGGTCAAGAGCATGTACCTGGGTTGCGGGAGATGTGCTGGAGGCAGCTGATCGATTTTTCTCTCTCATCAATGTTTCTAACTCTCTATCTCTCTCCCTTCCTCTCTAAAAAATCAATAAAATATATTAAAAAAAAAAAAAAAAGAAGGTATAAAGGGAGTAGAGAAGGGCTCCCTAGAGCCCTCAAAACCACAGTTGTTGCCCTGGCCGGTTGCGCAGTGGTTAGAGCTTCGGCCTTCGAACTGAAAGATCCCAGGTTTGATTCTGGTCAAGGACACATGCCCAGGTTGTCGGCTCGATCCCCAGTGGGGGGCTTGCAAGAGGCAGCCGATCAATGATTTTCTCTCATCATTGATGTTTCTATCTCTCTCTCTCCCTCTTCCTTCCTCTCTGAAATCAATAAAAATATACTTTAAAAAAAAAACAACAAACCACCCACAGCTGTTGCCTAATGCACAAATCCTGCCTGGTCCAGAGAGGGACCACCCACAGGGAAAGGGAGAACACAGTCTCAGTGTCTAATGAACCGCTCTTCTGCTTGGAGAAACAGGAAGCTACCAGGCCCCAGGACAGTGGCACACACACCTCAGCTACATGTGGAGGGCCTTCTGCAGCATGGCAGGCAGCAGCCGGGACCCAGCGGTCAGAAAGGCTCCAGGACCCTCCAGGAGCAGCAGCCTGGGCAGGAGGTGGGGATGGGCACCAGAGGTGTGAGGACTGACCTGAGACCAGGGAGGAGGGGGAGGGTGCTCTCCCACAGCAGGGCCTCACCTTCTACATCTAGGTTTCCTCTACCAAGTGCTTACCAGGCTGCGCCCGCAGTAGAAAGTGCAGAGGATTTCAGAACGTGGGTTCTGGAGTCAGGCGACCAGGGCTCCATCCAGGCCTCACCTCTTCTCAATTGTGTGACCTGTGATAACAAGGTAGAGTTAGCAACTGGCACCCACTCCCCATCTCTTCTGTTTCTCCTTTGAAAAGACATTCTTCCCTCCTTCCCTATCAGCCCATCGGTGAGGCCGCAGCTGTGGGGCCCTGTGACCAGACCACCAGACCTGCCAATCAGCACTGAATCTTCCTGGACAGATTTTATCGAGGTGGTCATCTGAGTGGTCATTTGACCCCCCCAACTGTACAATTAGAGTGACTCCTGGAACTTGTGGCCCAATCACCAAGAAGAGACTCTCTTTTCTACTGAACCAGAACTTGGAATGATATGGAACCCTCACAGAGTTCAAATATGACACCAAGTTGGTGAAGGCAGAGTAGAGAGATTCGATCTTTATGACGTTTTTGAATCTCCAGATCAAGTCATGCCTGGATTTCTGTTTCCAAAGCCAGTAAACTCCCTTCTTAGCATAACCCAGTTTGAGTCAGATTTTTGTCATTTGTATCAGAAAGAGTCTGCAATTCACACGGTGAACTTTCTTAACCTCTCTATAAGCTTCAGCTTCCTCATATGCAAAAGAAGGGACATTTCTCAGGAGAAAGGGAGGGTTGTTCTGGGATGATTAAAAGGATTGATCAGGTCCAACGCTTAACACAGAGCCTGACACATGTTAAACCCTCAAAAAACATCAGCTTGTAGGTGTTCCAGAAGTGTTGGCCAATGACTCTGGCCCCTGGAGGTGAACTGCCAAGGGCCACCTGGGGGGGTGCCAGGAAACGCTGGTAAGCTTGTAGGGTGGGGGTGAGGCCTGCCTGACCCATCCAGATGACAGGTCGCACCAAGAAATACTCTGGTGGGTGTCATGATTATTTTTCCTCATCCTCACAGTCTAATCGAGCCCATTTCACAGATGAGGAAAATGAGACCCAGAGAGGAGATCCAGGGTAAGGCCAACTCCAGCGCCCACTCTGCTGGCTCAGCCCCTCCCATGCCCCACTCCTTGCCAGGTCTCAATCCCAGCCAGGCTAAGTTAAACTGGTCTGTTACTGTAAAATGCGGGCTTCCATGAATAATGAAAGGGCAAGATGATGTCACAAACCCTCCCTCCTTCCGGAGGAGTCGGTTCCCCGTTCTGACCTCCTGTAGTCCAGGCGCAGTCACCAGTGAGCAGCGGTTTACCCCCCAGAGAGAGCCTGACGCAGTTCTGCTAAGGAAACCACGCAAGTCTCACGGTTGGCACGACCCTTCCTTCCGCACAGGGCACAGGGCGCCTGGGGGTGGGGGTGGGGTGGGAACGGCACCGCCCACTTCCCTTCAGAGAACCACCAACCCGGCCAGACGGTTCTCACGTCTAGGAACTGAGCTCACCTTGGGCTTTTCTCGCGTAGCCTCCTTGAGCCTCAGTTTCCTCATCTGTAAAGTGGCTCCCAGAGCCCTGGCCCGTGTCTCGGTGAGTTAGAGCGTGTCCCCTGCACCGAAGGGTCACGGGTTCCATTCCCGGTCAGGGCACATAACAAGGCTGCGGGTTCCATCCCTGGTTGGGGAGGCAACCCATTGATGTTTCTCTCCACCCCCCCCCTTCCTCTCTCTTTCGAATCAATGAAAACTATATCCTCTGGTGAGAATTTTAAAAAATAATACTAATAAAGTGGCTCCCACACATCTCAGGGTCGTTTTGAGGGCATTACAGCAAGAATGACTCCCTAGGTCAGTGGTTCTCAACCTTCCTAATGCCGCGACCCTTCAATACAGCTCCTCATGTTGTGGTGACCCCCAACCATAAAATTATTTTCGTTGCTACTTCATCACTGTAATTTTGCTACTATTATGAATCGTAATGTAAATATCTGATAGGCAGGATGTATTTTCATTGTTACAAATTGAACATAATTAAAGCATAGTGATTAATCACAAAAACAATATGTAATTATATATCCAATGTGTTTTCCGATGGTCTTAGGCGACCCCTGTGAAAGGGTCGTCCGACCTCCAAAGGGGTCGCGTCCCACAGGTTGAGAACCGCTGCCCTAGGTGTTCAGCACAGGGACGGACCCAAGCAACGGTGCTGGACCCCTTCCACCAACAGAGGGGACGGCCCGCGTGTGCCCGGCCGCTGCTGCTGCGGGCAGAGCGTGGGTTCCAACTGGGGTCTTATTTTACTGCAAGACCACGCGACCCCCACCTCCAGGAGCTCGGGTCTTTTGCCAGCGGGATCCTTCCCACCCTCTTCCTCATACTTTTACTCCTCGGCTTCCTCCTCGGCCCAGCAGAGCCTCCAAGTCCGCCTCCGCCTGGCGGCCCTCGGGAACCGCCGAAGCCCCCGGAGCCGGCCCTCGCGGCCTAAACGACTCCCTCCCCGGCCATCCACCCAGCTCCGCTGAGGAACCGCCCTGTGATGATCTCCCCGCCACCCAGCCCCCAGCCCCCAGCCCCCGCCGCCCGCGCCACCCGCGGACTCCTGGACACAGGTCCACCGCGGCCTTGAGATGGGATCACGTGCCCGTGGGCCTCCCCGCAGGACAGGAATCAAGACGCAACACCCGCACGGATCCCCCAACCGGCTCTCAGCCAGTTGGCCTATCATTGGTCTCTTCTGATGGCAGAGGCGGGATCTCGAGCTCAGTGGCCAATGAAGAAGTTATTGGTTACCACGGCAACAGGGCGCTGCAGCACGCTTTCCCCACTGGGCGGAGCCCGCTCTTCTGAGGATCACACTCCATTGCCCCAGTTCTACCTCTGGATAGAGTGGGGATCGGAAGTTGGGCGACAACCAGGACCCAAACCCTTCACAAATGCCAACAGTGTGGATGAGGCCCGGCTAGCCCAAGGTTTAGAGAAGGCTGCCTAGAGGAGGGACATTCTGAATAGAGACAAGAAACCCAACTTACTACAATGGAGTGGACATAGCACTTGCAGGGCAAGGCACAGGGCTGGGCAAATTTAGGTAGGAATGAGTAGGGCAAGTGCTTAGGCTGCTTAGTAAGCAGATTAGGGCTTCCAAGACAAGATCCACCCAGAGTAGGGTGGGGGACCCAGATGAGCAGCCACAGCTGAATTGTGGGTCTCACATTGTCCTTCAGTCCTGCAGGAAGAGACAGCCAGTGGTAACCAAGGCCATTCCCTTGCCTCAAGGCAGCTTGCACGCAGTCTTAGGTATAGTTATATCCTGTCTTGGACACTCATTAACCTTGAACTCTTGTCAGGAAAGAGGAAGGTGACCAAGTTCATTGTCCCCATTTCACAGATTAGGAAACTGATGCCTGCCTGGTAAAGTATCCCACCCTTGGGCCCTGGGGCCTGGCTCAGCAGGGCTCTCTTTTAATTCCCTGGTGTGGTGGCTTGTCTGGAAAAGCACTGTGCCGCGGTTCTGATGCTGTCCACACCTGCTGATTGTGCAAGGGTGTTGGGCCAGCTGAACCCCATGTTTAACCAGGTAAGTGAGCCAGGACAGAGAACCCTGCCCCTTCCTCTGATGGCTCTGGGTGGGGGTGCAGCAAGACTCCCTCCTCAGTCGCTTTGAGAATGAGTCCAGTATCCCCTCACCCTCCCACAGAAGCCCACAGTCTAATGGGGAGACAGACCTACAGTGACCACACAATGTGATAAGTGGGAGTACAAGAGAAGAGGTGCCTGAGTCCACCCCGGGAAACCAGGGGAGACTTCACGGAGGAGGCAGCCTTTGAGAGAACACAAGACACATAGGCCTTTGCTGGGCAGATGAGCAAGGGGAGGGCACCCAGGGAAGGAACATCTGCAAAGACCTAGAGGCCTGGCTGAGCATGGCTCACTGGGGAAACTGCAAGTCTGGAGTGGACTGTGGCAGGACTACGCTGTGGAGTGAACACCGGACAGCACTGTGTGCCCTGCACCGGACAGCACTGTGTGCCCTTCACCCCCCTTCTGAGCCGGCAGGCACCCCCATGCACTTTTCTCCAACTAGCAGATTCATGGAGCCCCAAGAACCATATCTGAGGATCAACTTCAGCTACACGCCAACAACATGGATAAATCTCATGGGCACAATGTTGAGATAAAGGAGACAGGGACCAAAGAATCATTCTATATGACCCCATTATATCAAGTTCAAAAACAGGCAAAACTGATCTTTGATGGGAAGTCAGGATAGTGGTTACCTGTGGGATATGGAGGGTCTTGAGGAGGGTCTCTGGGGTGAGGGGGACACTAATAATATTTGTTTCTTGATCTGCACGTTGGTTTCACAGATGTGTTTCACAAGTTTATCCGTCTGTATATGTAAGGTTTGTGTATTTTTCTGTATGTAGCTTCTACTTTAGTAAATTAAAACAAGTTAACTGCCTTTTTAAAAAAATCCTTACCCAAAGGTATGTTTTTATTATTTGAGAGAGAGGAAGAAGGAGAGAGAGGAGAGAGAGAGACAGGGAGAGAGAGAAATATCGATGGGTTGCCTCCTGCCCTTGCCTCAACCCAGATCAAACCTGCAACCTGGGTATGTGCCCTGACCGGAAATCGACCCTGAGATCCTTCCATGCATGGGCTGTTGCTCCAACCAACTGAGTCACACCAGCCACACCAGCCTCGGCCAAGTTAGCTGCTTTTCATAACATCAGATAGACACTAAAATTTTGGGATCACATAACAGGCTGTAAGCCAAGCATCCAGATGATGTAGAATATGTTTATGTTGATATTTTCAGATTATTCCAAAACGACAACACAAACATTTTAAAGTCTTATCGAGATCTCTCGGGCTCCAGAGAACCCCTGTACAGACCCAGGGTTTGGGGAACCCTGACCCAAGAGGAAGCATTACAAGGCTCAGTGTTGGAGCTCAGCATGAAGGTCAGTGAGGGGCCTGGAGCCTCTTCCCGGGGCACAGGGAGGTGAAGTCCTCTTCCAGTAGAATGCCTGGTCCCGGGAGGCTTAGGCCCAGCTCTGTCTAGCTGAGAGGGGGTCTCCCTGGCTCAGCTGTGAGATCCTGGAGGCCAGAGGTTGCTCGCTCACTCTGTGTCCCTGGGTCTGGCACACAGAGGGTCTCAGAGGACCGTTATGCCAGGGCCTCTTTGCCCAATCCCACTTTGGGAGTAGAGGAGGGGGGCTGCTTTGGCAGTTGTAAGCTCCCCCTCACTGAGTTCCACTGCACAAGTTCACAAACCACGAATGGGCAACGTTGCAGGAGGGGTTCAAGGTGGGGTTAGAGTTGTCCAGTTCCCACTGGTAGGGGAGAGCTGGATGCAGAGGGGGCTCTGAGCCCTGGGGACCACGACTATGGACAGGCAATCCCAGTCCTGTCTGCCCACCGGTCTTGCTGGAGCTGCTAATAGCCCAGCTCTGGAGGAGACAGACTGTTCCCGTACCCAGAGGGCATCTGTGGGCAGGACAGGCAACAGCTGCTCAACAGCTGTCTCCTCCCGTCCTTTGGGACTTCAGTTCTCATCCGTCCTGACTCTGCCACCCTTGCCCTCTCGTAAGAATCCTCCTCCTTTTGTCCTTTGCCATCTCCACTCAGCCAGCACTTCTAAACCACCGTTATGGTTTCTACCCTGGCCTTGTGCTACCCGGAACATTATTTGCTCAATATTTTTTCCTTCAAGCAATGCTAAGCTTCTGTTGTTGTTTTAACATGCCTTTGTTCTAAGCAATAATACTTGTGGAACCCTGGATTTGTGGTGCCAGTTTTATTTTTTCTGGCACACATTACATTTTAATTTAGAATATTTATTCCTGTATTACCTAAAATTATCCTGTGTCCCGCCCCATTGCAAACCATCTTATACAATGGTTCCGCCAGGATGGGTGGCTATTACTTATTAAAAATAGTGATAGCCTCGTGTTAGCAGTGAGTTTTATGTCTCTTCCGCACATTCACAGTCACAGTCTCATTTGATGTTCTCAGTTCCTGCACGGCGGACATCACTGGCCTCATTTCACGGATGAAGCTGAAGATCAAGGGGAGCTCAGAGAGCAGTAGCAATTCGTCGAGGGTCTGACAGCACCAAGTTGGGACTTTGGTCCTGATTTAAGGCTCGGGCGGCCTCTGACCTAGGATGGAGGCAGGGAAGAAGGAGGCATGTCTCCAGCCAGACCCACAGGAGCCACAGCACAGAGAATTGAATTAGACAGAAGGAAGGACTTCCTGGCTAGAAATGTTTAGGCAGGAGAATGACTGACAAGGAAGGGTGTGGAGTGCCCAGCTCCCGTAGTCCTCAAAACAAGATAAAGGCTTGCCCGCCCGGCTGGGACAATTCCGGTGCTGCCTGGAGGCGGGGACCGAATGACCTCTCCAGGTCCTGTCCAGCCCTGAAGATTGGGTGCACCCTGCCATCAAGGGGGCCCTCCTCGCCATTTCCCCCAGAGCATCTATCAGACACAGAACAGCATGTGAAGGCTCCACTTCGTAGGAACTGGGAAAGCGTTGTCCCGGCCCCTGCCCCTGGGAGGGAGCACTCAGGGGCAGTCGCTCTCCTTACCCGGCTCCCGTCCCAGTCCCACCGCCCTGGCAGCTCCGCCCCAGGTCTCCGAGGCTGGAATGCCAAGGCCTGGCTGCCCTCAGAG